AAGCACCCAAGACCGAGAATCCCCGAAGAGGTTCGCCAAGGGTCGGCCATGTGCCGCGACGTGAGCCCAAGAACCCACGCCCTGACTGCAGCGTAGCGTCTCGGCAGTCCGACAGGACGGGTGTGCGACGCAAGGGCCCAGCCACAAAACGTCAAGGAAGGTCAAGCGCAAAACATTGCATGAGAATACATTTCAAAGCACCCCCCTCCTGAATCCCCCCCTTGGCCCGCGCCGAGTCGCCGACCCGTTCGGACAACTTTGCAACAACAAAAATTAAAATCAGCGATATTGGCCTCGTGATTCCCCTCGACGTACACTGAGGCCTCGCGACGGCTCAGAAAATTTCAAGCCGGCCCAGGACGTCCCCAAGACGGCATTAGAGAATCCAAAAACGGCAAAAGAGCGCCCCGCAAGGACACCCAACAGCGCCTCCGGAGGCCAAAAACGTTGGTTGTTCCATTGGTCGTCATCTGTCTTTTCGAGCTCCCGCTCTTTCGGATCTCGGGGGCCTCGGCGGACCAAGCTGCCTCCGAGACGACCCTGACTGGCCCAAGAAGCCCCCGAAAGAGCCTCTGGACGGCCAAATGGGGCCCGAAGTTGGCCCAAAAGGGCCGCCGAGACGGTCCAAGAGCCCCCCTCCGACGGCCCAAGAGCATCCCCAGAGCGCCTCGAAGCGGCCCCGAGTGGCCCCAGAGACCGAAGGGGCCAGACAGCGCAGAAGCGCTCCCAGGCGGCCCAAGAAGTCCCCCAGGGGCCCGACAAGGCTCCAAGAGGGGCCCAGGAACCCCCGATGAGGGCCCCCGAGGACCCCAAGCAGGGCCCCAGGCGCGCTTCCAATTGCAAGACGAATGTTTTCCATCTGCCCTTGGCATATTCCACTGGCGTTGTGGATGCCACGACAATGGACACTCGAACAATCCGATCATTAAAAGTGTTTAACGTGTGTAAAACATGTTCTAACAACGTTTCAAACATGTTTGTTTAACATCTTTAGAACATAGTTGAAACACCTTTTAGACACCTGGAAATTGTTTGGCAGCATTGAAACAGGGCTAGGATCGGGATAAATCGCTCCAGAGCGTTCCGGAGCGCTCTCGGAGCGTTCCGGAAAGCTCTGGAGCGGCCGCGGCGCCCAACACATCCTCCAAACCCGCCGATTCTCAGAGATTTCGAGTTATCCCGATCCGATTTTGTCCCGATCTTCGCGTCGTTTTACTGGCGTCGACCTGCAGCGTTTTACTGGCGTCGACGTGTGTAAAACATGTTCTAACAACGTTTCAAACATGTTTGTTTAACATCTTTAGAACATAGTTGAAACACCTTTTGGACACCTGGAAATTATTTGGCAGCATTGAAACAGGGCTAGGATCGGGATAAATCGCTCCAGAGCGTTCCGGAGCGCTCTCGGAGCGTTCCGGAAAGCTCTGGAGCGGCCGCGGCGCCCAATACATCCTCCAAACCCGCCGATTCTCAGAGATTTCGAGTTATCCCGATCCGATTTTGTCCCGATCTTCGCGTCGTTTTATGACCCCCCCCCGAGAAGGGGCAGGGGGGCGGTCTGCCTGCTGGCAGGTGCGCTCGGGACCCTTCGCCCCGCATCGGCTCCAGCTCCGGCCCCAGGCCCCTCCTCCTCCTCCTCCTCCTCCTCCTCCTCCTCCTCCTCCGGCCCCGGGCCCAACAGAGCCCGAGAGGTTGCAAGAGAGCCCGAAGAGAAGCTCCAGAGTGGCAGCGTCGTTTTACTGGCGTCGACCTGCAGCCCTCTCCGGACCCCCGGTACGGCCCAGGCAGCTCCCAGGAGGGCCCCCCACAGCGTGGCCACGTGGGGCCTCCGCGAGATGGCCCTCCAAGAAGGCCCCAGTTCGGCCCCGTGCTGCCTCTGACGGGAGGCGGGGAGTTATCCATACACCCTGCGAAATGCTTGGACACCTGGAAATTATTTGGCAGCATGCTTCCTCTCCATTGATCGTCCTCCACAACACTGGCGTCGACCTGCAGCCCTCTCCGGACCCCCGGGACGGCCCCGGCAGCTCCCAGGAGGGCCCCCCACAGCGTGGCCACGTGCGGCCTCCGCGAGAGGGCCCCCCCAGAAGGCCCCAGTTCGGCCCCGTGCTGCCTCTGACGGGAAGCGGGGATTATCCATACACCCTGCGAAATGCTCAAGAAATCATGGGTTAAGAAATTCATAGTCTCAGAATTTGAATAAAAACCCAACATTTCGATTGAAATCTTTAGGATTCACATTGAAAACTTAAGAATAATCGAGACTCTGGCCGAAAACGCAAGGCGGGGAGTTATTGAAGGGGCCCCAGGACACACAAATAAATACACACAAATAAAAATATTCCCCATATTCTCTCATATTTTCTGGTTTTTTGTCTTCCCCCCCCCACTTCCCATAGTTTCCCATATTGTCCTAGGAATCGACGATTAATTTTGTCTGTGTGTTTTTTCCCTCCTGAATACCCACCGCCTGGGAACAGACGTCCTGGTGCTCCAGCGGGCGGTGGATATGGATCGAATTTCGGCCCCCTGGGGCCCGAAGACGTCCAGATCCACCGCCTGCCGAGGCTCCGAAAACTGGCCCTCCAGGCGGTGGTCGTGTGTGCATTCCCGCCTCGGATCTGACAGAGAGATGTGCTTTCACTCCGCGCACCTTTTGCCTTGCCTGCGCTTGTTCCCACAGGGTGCCCGTTCGGAGTGGGGCACGGCGCGAACTGCACAGCGGTGGCCCTGCGGCCGCGACATGCTCTTGCACGCGCTTCGTGGCGGGTGGAAGCACGCGTCGCACAGAAACCACGGCTCCAAGAGGGCCCAGGACGCGCCCACGAGGGCCTCCAGAGGCCAAAACAAAATAGGTGTTCCGTAAGTTGTTGAAGGTCGTTGGCATCCTCGCAGTTTTGGACTCTCGGCGTCCCATGACGGTCCAAGCAGCCTCAAAAGTGAATCCCAGACGGCCCAGAGAGGCCGAAACACAAGCCAAGAACCCCCCAAGATTGCCCAAGAGAGGCCCACAAGACGGTCCAAGAGGCCCTGAAGACGGCCCAGCAGGATCCCAAGCGAGCCCCAAGATGGCCCCGAGAGGCCTCCAAAACAGCCTCCGAAGGGGCCAAACGGCACAAGAGCGCCCCACGACAACCCAAGACGCCCCCACGCCCCCAAGAGGCCCCAACGAGGCCCCGAAGAGACCACCAAAGGCCCCCAAGAAGCCTCCAAGTGGCCACCAAGGGGCCCCCAGGAGTCCTCACAACGACCAGACTGTACGTGGTCAGGACGTGCACCCCGTGAAGCGAAAGGAATCTCGGCAGTCACAAAGGGGCAACAGCGGTTCGGGGGTACGATCCAGAGGGGGCTGGCTCAAAGGGGGAAGCGTCAACCTGGAATCAGCGATGCGTCGCTGGTAGACCAGCGATAGGCGATATGGCAAAACCGCCCGCTCCTGGGCGGGATGGGCTCTCGGGGGTCGACGCATCCCTCCCTGCGCCTGTCCCCGCCCCCAACGCTGCACCTGACTTCGGGAGACACATTCCCTGTCCCATCGCGACGCTCTTCGCGCCGACTCACCGCCGACTCCGCGTGGAGTCCAAGCCCAATCCGCTCCTCCACGTCGAAGCCCCCACCAGCACCAGCCGCGAAATCCACCTTTACGCCCACCCAGCCCCTCCATGACCCCCCCATCGCCACTGATGGATGCGCTTTGTAACTGCGTCCCCAGCCGCGAAATCCATCTTTACGCCCACCCAATCCCCCCTAAGATCCCTCCATCGCCACCGATGGATGCACTCAAAAACCCTCGTGGTGCCTCAACCCACTGCCCTGCACAGTGCACCCAGTGGCTCCCCCTGCGGAACTGATACCGAGCGACACTCCGACTCTCGGCGTTGATCGGCCCCATTGCTGCCACTCCAGAACGCCAATTTCACTAGAGTTGGGGATGCCACGACAATGGATACCCTAACAGTCCGACCATTGAATTAAAAATGTTTCAAATGTGTGAACATGTTCTAAAAACGTTTCAAGCATGTTTTAAACATATTTGAAACATTTTTGAAACACCTTATAGACATCTGGAAATTATTTGGCAGCACGCTTCCTCTCCATTAATCGACTTCCATAACACCACAGGGCGACTGGGGCACCTGGGAACCGCCGCCCTGGGGCTGTGCAGGGAGGGGCGTCCTCTGGCGGGCTCTGCCTTGACGACGTCGCCAGAGGCCACCGCTGAGCAGTCCCCGCTCCAGTAGGTCACCGGAGGCTGTGGCCCCAATCGCTTGTATGGACTTCGCGGCGTCGATTGCTTTCTGAAACCCTTGGGACCGGAACGGGCCCCTCGAGCGCGATTAACCCTGAACGCCTGCGCTGGCGGTCACCGCCGAGCCCAGGCGGCGCGAACTGTAAATGCTTCGGTGGCTCGCGGCTTCCCACACGAAACCACTTGACAGATCGGACTCGTGTGAGGCACGGCGGAGCGCAACGCGGCACAGGTTTACACTTCTCCCGCGGGGGACCGCATAGAATGTGAATGGCGCTGGCCGGCCAAAACTAACAGGGAACGCACCGAAGCACCCGTTGGTTATCGGGGGCACGCCCAGGGGGGAAGGCCGAGGGGGCAGGCCCTTGGAGCAGGCTTAGCATTAAGTCGGGCGTGTCTCCCTGCAGGCGGATTTGGACGAACAACACGTCCCCTGACTATGTTTGGACCATGCTTTTATCTTCCTCCTGTAGAGGGACATGCCCAACTTAAGCTTAGAAGGCATGCGCCCCTCTGAGATTTTTCTAACCCCCTATACGAACACAGAGACGGCTCAGAAAGCCGGAGGGCTCCCGAGTAGCCTCGACGCCTTCTGGGCAGGCTTGCCCCTCTCACTTCAAGTACCTCCCCCCAAAGGCGCGCCGCCGATAAAAAACGACTGCGACTGCACTTGGCACGGGGCAACGATACACTCACATTTACGGGAAAGCTGGGCAGGACGGCGTAGGCGCGTCTGTGGTCACCCCGAGGCTCCTGCTGAGGCGCTTGCGGAGGTCCTCGATCTGCTCCTGCGCATCGATGTGCGACAGCATCAGGATTCGCTCCTGCGGGGATGCGCGGCACCAGTCACCAGACATCTGAAAAAACAACTCGGGACGGCACAAGCATGCACGGGACTGGAAAACTATCGGAGCACAAAAACAACCAGCGCTCGCGAGCCAGGCCCGCCCGACGGCTACCCTGGGAGGCCGGGCGACGCTGGCAGAGATCGCATGTGGCAAAGCAGAGGAGCCTGATCGTCTCGCAACTCCTCGATATCCTCCCTGGGACCAATTTGTCGTCCCAGGTTGGAGGCGGCCAAGGGGCCTGAGCTGGATAGGGCCCGAGAAAATCGGTCAAGACGGGGGGACAAGGGCAACTCCGCTCAAAATCGTTGCCGGGACCTTTCCTGGGGTCCACCTGGCGCAACTGCTCACCCCGAATCCGCTTCTGACTGTCCCAGGCCCCGAAAGCCCCGCCCACCCGCTTTCCAGCTGGCGAGAAGCATTGCCGAGCCACCACTGACCCACAGCCAACTCCAAGTCCCAAGTAGTCTTGGCTGACGGCCCCGGGAACTCGGAAGCGGGCACCCGCGCGCCGAAACCATCGTACAGTCGGACTTGATTGGAGAGGACACGCGAGAGGACACAAAACCCTTCCGAGGGCCACGTTGCCAAAGAAATACCGGAAATATGGGTCGCAAGACACAAGACACGAACGTACCCTTGATCTGGCAGGGTCCACCTACTAATCCGGGCCGCCTGTAGCAATGCTTCTCTCTCAAAACTATATGTTCGAAACGATTGTTACATGGGCGCTTCTACTTCCCATGGCAAAGGTAGCATATGGCAAAGAAGTGTTATTGATCAGTGATTAGTCGATCGCCTAGGCTGCACACAGGTCGCAGAATACTACGGACTCATTTCTATAGTGTTCACTTACGTTTTGAGATCCGGACGGGACCGCACATGCACGCACATGCTGCACAGTCGCATGCACAGCCCATGCAAGCGCGCGAAGGCTTGAACAACAGAGCCGCACATGCGCGCACATGCAGCAGAGTTGGATAAGCATGCCGATGTACGTATGCAAACGCCGCGAACGTGTAACCGCACATAGACGCACATGCCAACTTGGGGGATATACTGTGTTCGGACAGCCCCCCCGACAACCCCTTCCAAAATGGATAGCGTCCCAGCATGCAAATGTGCCCAGCACTCGGGCAAGAGAGCCATTCCCAATCAGGGATGTGGCTGACGCTCGAACGGCAACACCGACCATGCCAAAGCCACGGATGTGGCAGGCGACAGCTTACCAGCTTCAATCATAAGTATCCCTGTCCTTATGTTTGGCATCACCTTAACTCGGCTCCGACCTTACCGAGGCCCTCATATTCTGTGTGAACATACCAAACATTGTCATCGCCTTGGGCTTGCCGATCCTAGGGGTAAGGATAATCTCGAGGCCGGTTAACAACAACAATCCAAGGCACGGATGCGGTCAGCGCTCAAATCCGCCGGTCCCCTTATGGGGCCTCAAGGCTCCGCGGATTAGGCTTGCTGCTCCGTTTTCCTGTTAGTTTCAAGTCTCCCATACTGTCGTCCTACTTTCTACTGCCTACTGTGATTTGTTCAAATCCGCGCGAGGGGGGGAAGCCGAAAAGGGCGCTGGTTACCACCACCTTGGGGGGTTCTCGCACTTTCTGGGGGGTCCTGGCACATACATGCGCTCCCGAAGCCAGTCGAAAACGCACTGGTAAGCCAAGGTACATGTTCCGCCTTAGGCGCTCCCATATCCCAGGCTTTGGCTCATACCGCATGAGCAAGGGAGCAAGATGAAGCATGGGATCTGGAGTAAAGGATAGAAGGGGCATCTTCAATAGAAAGGTCTTTTCCGATCTCAGATGCGAGTAGTGCGCCTCGGTGAGGCACAATCACATGTTCGGCCGGGCCCGGCTTGAGCCAGGCACGGCAGCGGTGCATGCTCGATTTACATCTCGCCTTTAACCCTCTCCGTTTAAAGTTGGAGGGGGAGGAGACGAGCAAGCACCGAATTTCTACATTACGCGGAAAAAACAGTGCTAGGCAACAGCGGCTGCCTACAAGGCAAGGGCGCGCGAGTAGCCTCGCTACCGGCGAGTTTCCTCGCTACTAAAGCGCACCTGCGCGCGGGTTTCCCCGCTAGCTCGGGAGGCAGGGCCGTCCTGAGACGACCTGCCCGCCCTATACGGAGTATGTTTCTTCAGCTCGTGCTTGAAGGATTGCTGACCGGCCATTACCTGTAGGAGCAACGCGCGGTCAATACTACCTTTGGTATGACCATCGGCAGTCATATCCCGCGTGTCACACCATTGGACGCTTTCAACGATTCCGCGCTCCATCATCTGGCGGATCCAGCTGATGTGCCCAAGCAGAGTGCATTCTGTGGGCTTCTTCAGATCTTTGCTAGACAAAGACTTGAAGACAGACTCGGCATCAATAGTCAGAGTGACTTTGATACATAGACCACCCATTTCCAATATGTTCTTTAACTGTGTGGGGGTCAATGGTCCCGAGTGTAGCTCGTGGAGCGTTACAATGGTCGGGTAGCAGTCTTCCAAGTTGTGGGCTGCTGCCAGTGTTTCCGCAGAGTAGCTCGAACGCACCTGCAGTCGATGAGACTTGCAGTATGCGTCCACCAGGTGCACGACGGGTTTCCCCGCTTGCGTGTGGCCACGCCTCAGCAGGTTAGCCCCGCGGATACCGTAGCCTTTGACTTCGTCGTCTTCATCTCCGTTGAGACGACGATAGCCAGAATCGCTATGCAGGTCGACCTCTCCTGTTGGAGTCATAGCTTGATACACGATCTTCTTCGGACCTGCCTGCAATTTCCTGGTAACCGCGTTCAGTCGTCGTACCTGGATGTTTGTCGGTTCCTGGATACGTTGCAGTGAAACAACATAGACCATCAGCCATACCTGCGTGATCAACGCATAGGCTAGAGCGCCACGAAGACTGACGAACATATCAGAAATCGTCTTTGTCGCTTTGCTCTCAGGATCAGCGCCTGTGAGCTCTGGATGTGTGATAGGACGAAGTTGTTTGATGTATTCGTCCTGATCAAGAGTGACGCTCCCATCATCGGTCTTGTTGTACCGAACGGCACAATTTGTGTATGTGTGCTTGTTCAGTTTGCACTTTCCAAACGTATCTTCAACACATTTGACGTACTTGTCAATGGAATCTTCCTTCCCAGTCATATTGATGTCATCAACGTGTTTGGCTGTCAAGAGGTTTGAACTCATCTCGAACTCTTCATCGTATGAAGTAGGCTGTAGTCCAAAGCTCCTGGTGATGGACCTGAGCTTCAGCGAGAATGCCCTGGGAGCATCCTTCGTGCCAGTCCCCGGCTTGAGGCACCGAAGACAATGCTTTGATTCGTCATATGACTCAAAGCCTGGCAATGTGCGAAGGACAGCTGCTGACCCAGGAGGTAGTGTGAAGCACACCACACGCTCTTTCTCGCCAGTTGCCGCGGCGAGCTCGCCATAGGTCAGTCCCTTCAAGAAAGCCATGTTGATGTCCAGGGAAGCGATGATCCAAGCTTTGTTGCATGCAGCAGAACTTGCGAGCAATCTCTGGTTTGACCTCCTTGCCGTGCCAGAGAAGGTTTCGACATCGAAGGCTTCAATGTCCATGAAGCCACGAAGTACCGAGCGTAACCTGATCGTCCGTTCCATTTCGCCCTTCTCGTTCTTGACAAACTTCCATTTGTATACATAGCGTGAAGTCATGATGTTCGACGCTTTGCTCAAGTCAGTCATCTGGAAGCATTTCTTGTCAAGCCAAGTCTTCAATTCTGTGTAAAGGGCTTTGGAAACTTTGACCGGATTCGCTTGAATGTCGGCCTTCGTGAGTAGGTCGTCTTCTTTGACGACCACGGCACGTTTGGAGGCAGCACTAACATATACTCGCATAGTTGTGACGCTGCTGTCATCCAACAATCGGCGTTGCTGCTCGGACAGGACGACTTTGGACATGTCTGCTGTGAAGCAAAGCTCGATGTACTTCCCGTGCTCGTCGGAGTCCAGATCATAGTGGCTGTCCGGATCAGTGGAGCACAGAGGGACGTAGTAAGAGGTGTCCATGTCGTATCCTGGCGGGTGACCCCGCACCGGCAAGTGGCCTTGCACATCTTCACAGGTCGTAGAGACCAACACGCACTGTGAGTCTGTCATGTATGTCGGAACTGTGTGCATGACTTCTTCTGTGTCAGCTTCAAGGAGTGTTCTGTCATCCATCAGTTCAGCATACCATGACTCCAAGACAAAGACATCCAGATCCTCTTCTGTTTCCTCTATGATGGTCGGGAGCCGACCATCATTCGCCGCAGGAGGCTGCTCAGGAGCAGCTGCTGGAGGTGGCTCGCTTGGTGGTGCGCCATCAGCGAGTTCCTCAAACTTAGTGAGGTCTCGGTCGAATCCAGCAAGCGGCTTCTTGGATTTAAGACACTGGATGATGCGTGAATGTGTAGACCCTGTGATGTTGTAGATGTTCAAGGCAGTGCCATCAGCTTCATAATAATGAAAGCCAGGGGTCACATCGTTATCATAGTGCACTAGTGTACAGCTGTCTGCATATGGTGCAGCAGGCAACTTAGTCAGGCTCTTAGCAAGTCGTACAGCAACCACGTTTTCAATGCGAAAATAGTTGCGAATGAGATATTGAAGAGCCAAGTGCACCTTAGGCGAAAGCCGGCTCGCAGCAGTCATCTGCAGTCGGCCCTGTTTCGCTGGTAGGTATCCGAAAGTCATAGCGGGTTTCCCCGCTGGCAGACCGGCAATAAAGGCCAATACTGTCCGAAGGGCCGTATTGTCCGATCCTATCTCGCGGACCATCAGTGCTTCGATGTACAGCGTATGTCGTGAGTCAGGATACTGTACTCGCACTTCGCGATTGCCGACCTTCACGATGACCTGGCCTCGGTCAGGTTCGTTGCGGATGACCCGGTATGGACCACTCCATCCACCCCAGTCGTCTTTCGTGGTGGTCGGGCGATGATAGTCCACGAGATCTCCCTCTTTGTAGT